GTTACTTCCAATAAAAAAAAAAACAAGCAAATAACACTTACGATGTCCGCGGAAGACCACACTCTCTCCGCCCATTGTTCGTATCACCAACTGGTCGATGTTCTTCACTTCGGCCATACGCAGTGGGCGTTGTGTGGGCAAGAAGTGGTTACGCAACACACTTTCAGTGAATTCTTGCACACTAAACGGGTAGAAGCCCCAGTCGATGGGATGCCAACGTTGAAAGGCATTGTCGGACGGTATGAGTACCGTGTATGAGCCATCATCCATTATATGGGTTAGATTGCTTTTAGACAGGAAATGTTGAAAAACTTTGGTGCCGCTTTTCATGCTATTCAGGAAAGACATGAGTGGACTAGACTTAGACTCTTTTAGTATAGGCTCGATTTTAGTATGCATAGATGTTGCGTTGCGCATCTCTAAGCGTTGTGGTTCATTGTATCGGCTGTAAGAAGAAAGGAAAATGTGAAGAAAGTTTTATGAACTTTAATTTACATAAAATAATGTGTATTTAGTTTTCTACCTATTCGACTCTTGTATGTTGCGCTTCGAGTAGGGCGATTTTCGGTCACCGAGGTAGCCATCAATTGCGATTGCTATCACGTTTTCATTCAAGCGCAGTTTGTACAAAATGAGATAACCATTGAGTAGCCACAAATTGTTTTGCGATTTTTCCATTTTGTGAAGATGCATTTTATGACCGTTCCCATTGCCATAGTTGTCATCATCAGCAAAATTATCAAATACTTTTCCTGGTATCAAGTGCTCCAACATGAATTCCTTCAGTCGCGGCTTATCAATTGTGCGCACATCGATTTTCGGTACAATCATTGTAAATGGAGCATCTGGTAAGTAAAGTGAAAATGTTTACGTTTAAATGTTTATTACTCGTAAAAATATTCTTTTTATGTAGTATTATAAATACATTGATATATTCTTATAAATATAAAAATGGTGTGAAAAATGTATAGTAATTTATCAGTTGAGAACGGTTGGGCCGATTTGGCTAACATTTCTTTTTAGATGTTCGAAATTGCCAGGAGAAGGTTGTTATGAAAGAAAATGGTAGTAGTGCACTTCAGCGGAACCAAGTCAAAATCGACGGAAAAAAGTAGAGAGTGGCATCAATCGACGCGTCTTGGCGCC